GAAGGATAATCTTACTGGGTACAGTATTCTTGGTTGAAACTGCTTTTCCCTTAACACTTTGAATATATTTTACCATTCTTTTCTCGCTCGCATTGTTTCTGAGAAGAGGTCCACTGTTAGCCTGATGGGATATCTTTTGTAGATAACTTGCCATTTCTCTCTTGCCAATCTTAATATCTTGTCTTTGTGGTTTTGGTCAATCTGGCTATAATGTGTCTTGGAGAAGATCTTCTTGGGTTGATTCTATGTGGGGTCCTTTGTATTTCTTGGGACTAAATCTTTGAGTGCTTCTCTAGTTTTGGAACATTTTCTTGCAGGATTTCATGGAATAGATTATCAATGCCCTTATGAGTCTCTTCACCTTTTGGGATACCAATTATCTGGATGTTGGATGTTTGATGTTATCTAGTATTTCTCGTATACTATTCTCATTTTTTGGGCCATTTTCTCAGTCTTTATGGTGGATTTTTCTAGGTCAGCGATTCTATCTTCTACATCTGAGATTCAATTTCAGTCTGCTATTAATACTTTCAAGGAAGATCTTGATTTCCTGTTTTACTGTCTTGATTTCTAGAAGTTCTGATTGGTTCTTTTTTATGGTGTTTATCTTCTTCAAATTCTGCACAGTCTTACTCATTCCTGTCATCATAAATATTCTGAACTTTTTTCTTTTTATATTAGATTTAATCACATATATCTTCAAAGTGCATTATATTTCTTTTTCCAGCATAATTACTGTGCATATCAGTCAAGACAAACACATTACTATCAACATCATCATCCAATAGATTTTCATCATTTTTTCAGATTATTATTATTATTTATTCCCATTATTTTTTAAAACATTCAATCACTATATATCATTTGACTTGTGAGGAGAATTTACCCAACATTAAATACTTTTCAGACCAGTCTAGTTGATAATACTAGACTTGTTACCATCAACAGGTAATAAATCATTTCTGTGTCTCACTAATGTCATGCCTCTCTATTTATTGTCTTGTTTTCCTTCTCTATACTTTTCCCATCTCCCCCCATTCCACATTGTCTTCAGCATCCATAAGTATTTTCATTACTTTTAAGCCCTCCAATATTTCAATCTCTACCATAAAGTGTGGAAAGTCAGTATATATTAAATGGATACATACAATAGCTTTCTTTTGTAACCTGGCTTGCTTCACTCAGCAATAGATTTTCCATATTTGACCTCTTTTTATCAAATGTTTTTTATGGCTAAATAGTATTCCGTAAAGTATATATGCCACATTTTGTCCATCCGTTCTTCTGTTTGTGGGCATTTGGGTTGATTCCATGTCTTATCAATCATGCATAATGCTGCAGTAAACGTTGATGTGCAAGCATTTTTTCAACTGAGCGTTCTCCTGTCCTTTAGGATTGCTATATTAAATGGTAGTACTATTTGTAGATCTTTGAGGAAACTCCATATTGTTATCCACAGTGAGTGAACCAGTTTACATTCCCACCAACAATGTAGAACAGTTACCCTTTACCCACAACCCATCCAAAACTTATCACTTTTTATAGTTTTTAATCTTCACCATGGTTAGGTAGTATCTCATTGTGGTTTTAACTGGTATCTCCATTATGATGAGGAATATTGAACATTTCCTCATGTACTTTTTGGCTGTTTGTATGTCTCCTTAAAGATATTTTTGTGCATATCATTTTCCCATCTTTTAGTTGGATTAGACTTTATTTGGTTAAGTCACTTGACTTCCCTGCATATTCTGGTTATCGGTCCTTTATCTGAGGCATATTTTACAAAAATATTCTCCCATTCTGAGAGTTGTCAATTCACACTAATTACTGTGTCTTTTGCTGTGCAGAAACTTCTTAATCTTAAATAGTCCCATTTGTGTATTAAAGGGATTATTGTTCATGCTTTGGGAGTCATATTAAGAAGTCTTTGCCTACTCCAATATATCTCAGAGTTTCTCCAGTGTTTTCTACCAGTAGTTTTAAGGTTTGAGGTCTTACTTACAGATCTTTGATCCATTTTGAGTTGATTTTTACTAATGGTGAAATATGGGTATTTAGTTTCTTCTTTCTGCAGGTGGATACCCAATTTTTCCAGCACTATTTTCTAAAGAGGTTTTCCTTTGCTCAATGGATTAGCTGTTTTTGTGCCAATATCATGCTGTTTTGATTATCACAGCTTTATAGTATATTTTGAGTTCAGGGAATAATATACCACCCACTCCATTTTTGTGCAGGATTGTTTTGGTAATACAAGGTCTTTTATAATTCCAGACAAATTCTATGATTGTCTTTTCTAGATCTGTGAAGAATCTCTCTGATATTTTGATATGAATTGTGTTAAATATGTAAATAATTTGGGTAGAATTGCCATTTTGATTATACTAATTCTTCCAATTCAGGAACATGAGATATCATTTCACTTTTTTATGTCATTTTCAATTTCATTTTAGTGAGTTTTCATAGTTTTCTCTATAAAGCTTTTACTTCCTTAGTTAGGTTTATCCCTAGTAACATATATTTTGTGGCTATGGTAAAAGGATTCCTTTCTTCGGCTCTACTTTGTTCAACTTGTTTTTCGTATATAGAAATGCTCTAGATTTTTGAATGTTGATTTGTATCCTGCCACTTTACTGTGTTCATTAATTACTTTGAGAAGTTTTTTAATGGAAACCTTTGGGTATTTTAAATATACTATCAGGTCTTCAGCAAATAAAGATATTTTCAACTCTGCTTTGCCTATGTTAATGCCTTTTATTTTATTACCTTTTCTGATTGCATTAGCTAATATTATATACAGCATTATATTAAAATACAGTGGAGAATGTAGGCAGCTTTGTATAGTATCAGTTTTTAGTGGAAAAACTTTTAGTTTTTTTCCCAATTCAGCATAATTTAGCTATAGGTTTTTCATATATGCCTTTTATTCTGTTGAGAAATGACCCTTCTATATCATTCTTACTGAGAGTCTTAATCATGAAAGGATGTTTTATTTTTATCAAATGCTTTCTCTGCAGCAATCGAAATGATCATATGGTTTTTAAACTTCCTTTCTGTTAATATGGTGTATTATATTTATGGTCTTTTTGTTATTGTCTGTCCAATTCCTTGAGGCATGATATTAGGTTGTTTATTTGCCACTTTTACATCTTTTTTCTTATGTACACTAATTGCTATAAATTCCCCTCTTATGACTGCTTTTGTCATGTCCCATAGATTATGGAAACTTGTGTACTCATTATCATTTGTTTCCATAAATTTTTAAAATGTCAGTCTTAATTTCTTTAGTAATTAAGAAGTCATTCAGATACAGGTTGTTTAGTTTCTGTGTCTTTGTGTATTTTCGAAGATGTTTCTTGAAAATAATATTGAGTTTAATTCCATCATGGTCAGAGAAGATGCTGGATATAGTTTCTATTCTTTGAATCTGTAAAGGCTTGATTTGTGACCTATCATGTGGTCAATGTTTGAAAAGGTTCCATGCCAGGGTAAGAAAAGTATTTATTTTGTGATCTTAGGGTAGAAAGTTCTATACATGTCTGTCAAGCCTATTTGATTTATAGTATAATTTAGGTCCTGTATCTTCTACTTATTTTTTGTCTAGAAGATCTGTCTAAGAGAGATAATGGAGTGTTGAGATTTGCAACAATTGTAGTGTTGCAACTTATCACTCCTTTTAGTTTTTGTAGTCTTTCCTTCATGTATTTGAGTGCTCCTGAGTTGGGTGCATAGATATTTATAAGTGTTATGTCTTCTTAATGAATTAGCCCATTTACTATTATATAATGCCCTTCCTTGTCTCTTTTTACAGTCTTTGTCTTGAAGCTTATTTTTCTTTGAAGCTTATTTTGTCTGAAATCAGTATTGCAACTCCAGCCCTTTTCTGATTTTCCTTTGCATGGAATATCTTTTTCCAGTCCTTTACTTCTTGCCTATGTGTGTCTTTATCCATAAGGTGCATTTCTTGTAGGCAACAGATAGAGGGCTTCTGTTT